CATGGGAACCCTCTACCTCCACTGGGGTCTGCACCCCCGCTCCCCGGGGAGGCCAGCAGGCAAAACTCGGGGAACCACTCCAGCCCCCACCTGTGAGGGCCCCCGTGGGCCTGGCACACTGGCATGGGGCACAGACAGCAGCACCTGGGCCGGGGGTGCTCTCCGCTGGGCAGAGGTCTAAGGACCAAAGCGTGGCACCCCACGGGCAGGGGTGCCCACGAGTGGGAATGTGAGCAGGAATGAATGAGGGGGGAGGCGCTCCCAGGGCACCTGGCGCCCCCACACTCTCCTCCAGACCAAGACCCTCCCTATCCCCACCTCCACACGCCGGCTTGGGGCTCAGGGGCGATGGTTCTGAGCGTCCAGGGGACTGTCCGCGTGACAAGACCCAGGCCAGCCCCCGGGACACTAGGGACCTCTCTCGGGCACAGAATTCCCAGAGCACCAAAGGTCTTTTGAGACAAGGAAGCCCCTGTCCCCACACCCAGCCCTTTGAAACAAGCCAGGAAAGATGTCATGGTGGATGTCTGCGGGCTTACCTGTGTACAGGTGGCCGTATCTCTGCCGCCTGCGCCCGGTGGGGCGTCTGAAGGACAGACACCCAGGGCAGGCACTGCCAAGATTAGGCTGTGGGCAGGACCCTGCAGGTCCCGGGAGCATCCTGACCCCAGAGGGTGCTTGCACCTGTGGCGGGGACACCTGGCCCATCTCTCAGCACTCTTTGTCTCGCTGGCCCTCAGCAGCTGGCGTGGCGGGGACAGGAAACCCAGACGGAGGGAGGGACAGACAGCATTTCCCCTGGGGCAGAGGGGACCCCTGGAGGCTGTGCTGGGGAGGCCGCTGACCCCCAGTTCCTGTGGGCCAGCCTGGGGTCTCCTGGTGCGACAGGATGTCTCCCTGCAGACATTTCCTGTCTGCAGACAGAGACGATGAGGGTAGTGAGGGTGTGCATCCAGCGTGGACAGCACCGGGTGCACACGACACCAGGTGTAGACGCCGAGTGTACACAAGCCCAGGTGTAGACAGCACCACGTATAGACAGCACTGGATACACACAGCCCGGGTGTAGACAGCACCACGTATAGATAGCACTGGATACATACAGGCCCAGTGTAGACAGCCCAGGGCTAGTGACTGTTGCAGAGAGCTGGGCAGGGGACTCTGCCAAGGACAGTTCAAGGACAGAGGGATACAGCCAGGGCTGGGCCCAGTCAGCAGGGTCAGGGACCCCACAGACCCCCTCAGCCTAGGGGGGGCTTGCAAGAAGCCCCCCGCTGATTTACGGTCACCCCGGGGGAGGGAGTTGCGGCTGCCGAGGCCTTGTTCTTGCTCCCCCCTCCCCCTCGTTGGGGGTCAGCAGGCTGGGGTGGGGTGGTTCTCAGCTGGTTTCCAGATGGGCCGGTGGAAAGGCGCCTGGAGGGGCGCCCGGGGTGGGGGGTGTCGGTAAAGGGACCTGGCGGTCAGTGGGCGGTTGGAGCTGCTTTGTCTCTGCGGTCAGTCGTCTCGCGGCTCTAGGCCCGTCTCTGTCACACGGAGCCCCCCTTCTCCACGACCGCCCGGGTGGGTGGGGGTGGGCTCTGGTGATTTATCACCCGCTGCCTGTCCTCCATCGGAAACGCCGGGGGTGGGCGCAGACGGTGCGCTGAGCTATGGGCCCCCAGGGCCCCGCCACCCACACCAATGTTGTTGCTCCGTCTGGGCGGCGGGCCCACCCCCAGCATGGCCAGGGCCTGGCCCCCAGCCCTTCCCGGGGCCTCGTCCGCGGGGCCCTCGGAGCTTGCGCCCAGCGGGCGGCGGGTCCCTCCGCAGGCTGCAGGGGCCGCGGGGACCGCGCTCCACCGCCGGCCTGGTCGGGGTGCCCCTCTCCCTGGGCACCCGGCGGGCGGCGAGGCCAGCCTTTCACGGCCCCCTCCGCGCGCCCCCGCAGTCCCCGCCTGCGCTCCGGCGCATACAGCAGGGGCCGAGGCAAAGAGCGGCGGACACGGCCGCGCTGCGGGCTCACTGGGCTGAGTCCCGGGCCACTGCCGCCCGGCGGAAGAAGCCCCTTATCTTCCCGCGACCGCGACCGGCTGTCGATGCGGGGCGTGGGGGCGGGGGCGCCCTCGTCCCCGGCCCCGCCCGCACCGGAGCGCCCTGCGGACCCTGGGGCCGCCCCAGCTAGTGCGCGCAGTCCTGCTCTACGCCCCGCGCCCCTCCTCCCACCGCGCCGCTCCATTCCCTCCGCAACCCCGCAGCCCCCCGCGCCCCTCCAACCCCGCCGCACCCCTCCGTCACCGCGCCCCTCTAATGCCCCGCGCCCCTCCGTCCCCTGCACCCCTCCGTGCCGCGCGCCGTCCTCCGCCCAGTGCGCCCCGCGCGGGCCATTCGGCAGGTCGCGAGCGCCCTCTGCTGCCGGGCTGAGGCCGTGCTCTGGGGAGAGCCGGCCGCAGCATCTGCATTTTTCAGGGACCAAAACACCGAGGTTCCGCGCACTGGTCAGGGCTGTGTCCGCCTGGGCCGCCTCCTGGCCTTGCAGGGACTCGGCGCTCTAGGCACCCCCTCGGTCGTCCTTCAGTCGCCAGGATGTGGCTTGAGCGTCGGGCTGGCCTCGGGGTGGTGCGCCACATGTCCCAGCAGGGCAGGCCTGGACTTAGGGCGTGGAGGACTTGGATACTCAGGACATAGTGGCAGCAGGAGGCTTGGGCTTGCTCCGAGAGGAGCCCGGCCTTGACCTGAGGCTGGTGTTCCTGGGACTCATCACTGCCCGCCACCCTGCGAAGCTGGGGACCAGTGTGGTCAAGAGGACTGGAGCTGCAGGTCAAGGGGCCAGAATTGCCTGCCTGGGAGCTGCAGGCATGAGGGGCTGGCGGGGCTGTTCCCATCTGGATGGAGTCTGAGCCCCCGGGGGGACCAGCCTGTCAGTGGGGAAGGGACCCTGGGGCAGGTGGAGGGGCTATGCTCCCCCCTGCTCTGGGCCGGTCAGGGTCCCCAGCTGGGACCGCTCCCCTTCGCCACACCCTGGAGGCTGAGGCCCCAGGGTCTGTGTGTGGAGCGTCAGCTCAGGTTCAGGGCAGGGAGCCCCCGGTGGTCAGTACCTTGGCTGGAGCCCCTAGAAATCACGGGGAACTGGCAGGAGGGCGGGATGAGCCCGGAGTAACTACAGGGTTCTGCTGCCCTGTCGTCCGAGGGGGAAGTTCTTCCTCGGATCTGACCACACCATGATGCCAGCCTTTTCTTCCATCAGGAGATCCAGCATTCTGCAGTTCCCGGCCTCCGGGACCCCCATACCCAGCCCCTCAACAAGACACTGGCCAGGAAGCTGGACCCCTGCTCACCACTGGTCACTCCCAGTTCCTGCTGGGACCTGTCCCACAGCCCAGGGAGACCTCCCTGTCTTAGCTTGGGGTCACCTAGGACTCCCAAGCCCCTTTCTCTGGGCCCTGCATTTGCCCCCCAGAGGCCTCAGCGAGGAGGAGAGGGGATCCCAGGGGCCTGTCTCAGCTCTGCTCCCAGGGCAGCCACAGAGAAACCTCTGGGGCCCAGCAGAGAGACCCTACTTGGAATCAGGTTTTCTGCTGTGGAAAAGGGTGACACCCCATTCCTGCACTGCACTGGGTCTGAGTTTAGGGGGTGGTCTGTGTACCTTGCTGCGATGACTATTACCTCTGACCCCCACCAGGGCTCCAGGCCACTCCCTGGGGGGCAGGGGGCATTTCTTTGTGCAGAAGGGGCTGCTGTCCCAGATCTGGTGATAAGTCTGGATGGACAGCAGACAGTCAGCTGCAGCCCACAATGGGCCGGATGCCACGCACCTGCCCACAAAGGAGGGAGTGGCTCTTGCCTCACGTCCCACCGGCAGCCCTGAGATAGCATCGGCCCGGCCGGAGGGCCATCCGTCTTGTCCCACAAAGGCTGAGACAAAGACCATGTCAGTGGCAGCCTCCCCGACCGGGTCAGCGGGGCCAGGGGTCTTCCTGGGCCAGGCAGCCGGGGCTCAGGCCCCAGGCTCCTCTTCAGCGGCCTTCATTGTTCACAGGGCCAGACAGGTGGGGGCCACATCTAGAGCGGAAGTGAGGAAAGCATCGCCCTCTCTCTGAGGCCGCCAGGCCCAGCTTAGCAGCCTGAGCCACACTGGGGCACGTACTCAGGACTTTCCAGGCCCTGGTGGCTCAGCCTGGATCCAGGGCTGGGACGGGGAAGACCAGGGCCTGAGAAGCAGTCAGGGATACCTTCCTGCAGGAGGTGGCAGCCAGGTGGAGGACACAATTCAGAGACCCTGCAACCCCCTGTGCCTCCTCACCCCTGCAAGGAACTTCTGTGGACCCCAGCTTGCAAGGCTCACCTCCTCCTCACCTGCTCTCCAGACCTTCTCACTCAAATGTCCAGGAAGGTGCCGCTGGGGCCCCTGACCGCCCTCACCATCCCTGGTCCAACGCACTCCTGATGCTTTGAGGCACCTCACACCCTGAACCATCCTTGGAGCCACTTGGCAGACCCACCCTGGCGCCCAGAAACCTCCACTCTGAGCACGTGCTTTCGGCACAGGCACCGCCCATGGGGTTCCCACTGTCCCCACACTGTCCTCACCCCCACCCCCAAGGTGGGCACTGTTCTTCCAGCCCGTCCATACCTCCCCACTTGAACTTTGGGGAGAGTCCGGGGCGGGCAAGTTGGCTTGCTGACCCCTGTGCCCCCACCAGGAGGTGATTTGGGGTGTATGAGCTGCCGGGTGGGAACCAGCCCTGGGAGCTGTTTCTGGGTTTGGGAAGGGGATTCTGCGTTAAGAATCAAGGGGATTCTGTGCAGATCGGTCGGATGGTGAGCAGGGTTTATTGGCACTGCAGATAGCATGGAGGGCTCCACGGGCCTGGGCAGCGCCTTCCTCCAGGCCCTCCTCGGTCCAGGTCCAGGGCGTTGGTGCGTGTGGCCAGCGGTGCGCGCAGCAGTCAGGCCCCTGAGCGGGAGGCAGGTCTGGGAGATCGTGAGGACAGGGGTAGGGGGGCCGGCCGCACGGTTCAGCGTCAGTCGCTCGGCTCGGGGGTCGCGCGCTCGGCAGCCAGCGGGGCGCTCAGTGGCCTCTGTCGGGTGGCGCGAGCGCGCAGGCTCCGCAGGCGGCACAGCAGCAGCGCCAGCAGCAGCGCATGCAGCAGCCCGAGGACGAGCAGCAGGAGCTGCGCCGCCAGCGCCCCGCGGCAGAGCGCGCCGGGCGGGCAGGTGGCGCGCAGCTCGTCCTCCGCTAGGTAGGGCAGCAGGCGGCCCCGCAGCGCGGGGGGCGCGGCACAGCGCAGGTCGCGGTAGGGCTCGCGCTCTGGCCGGCCAGCCAGCCAGGCCCGCAGGGGCAGCAGGTGGCAGTCGCAGCGCCAGGGGTTGGCGCCCAGGTGTGCGCTGCGCAGCACCGGCAGCGCGTCCAGCAGCCCCGGCGGCAGCGCCGTCAGGTTGTTGCCGGTCAGCACCAGCTCGGTCGTGTCCGGCGGGAAGGCGGGCGGCAGCGAGGCCCACGTCAGCCCGCGGCGCCCGCAGTCCACGCGCGTCCCCGCGCAGCGACACGGGGCGGGACAGCCTGCGGCCGGGCGGCCCGGCGGCGCGAGCAGCAGAAGCAGCAGGCTCAGCGCCCCGCGCGGCCCTGGAAGGGAAGCGCCGCGGTGAGCCCAGCCCGCGGTGTCCCGGGCGGGATCGCCACCGCCCGCGAGCCTTTCCACCCGCCTGCCGGCTGGAAGGGTCCTCCAGGTCTGCTCCGAACCGCTCTGACTGCAGCCCAGAGGACCGAGAGCCTCCCCGCCGATGTTCTCGGGGAGCAGGCGGCCCGGGCAGACCCGACTCACCGAAGCCCATGGCGAGAGGTTGGCGACCGGGCGAGCTCTGGAGCGCCAGGCGGCGGTCGCAGGACCGGGCGATAAGGCCGCCCCGCCCCTGCCCGGCCCTGGCGCGCCCTCCGAACCGACCACAACGCGGCCACCCGGCCAGAAATAACCCCGAGGCCGAGCCACCGGCACAGATAGAGCGCTATCGCCGGGTCGCCGGCCGACCGGGTTTCCGGCCCCTCGCTCCTGGGGCGCACAGACCACTCGGACACCCTCTTCGACGCTCACCAACATTGTTCTCCTGTCACCAGGACAGGGCGCAGCATTCACAACGGAACACACTGGAGAATGGGGCTCGGAGCCAGGGATCATGCGGGTGGAGGGACAGGGACCAGGGACTCGGGAACCCAGGGCGACAGTGCTGCTGGGGAGAGCGGGCCTCCCGCCACTGATGGGCAAAAACGGTGGTGGGACAGGGACGAGAGTGGCCAGTTTGCCGACCACCCGCTGCTTCTGGAGCCCCCCGGGGCCAGGCCAGGCCGTGGGGGAGGGGTGCCGGCATTCACAGCGAAGCCCAGCCACGTTACTGCCCCCAGCAGCCAGCTGACCTCCTTAGGTTCGGACGGAGCCTAATCCCTTCCGCTCCCAACCTGTGTGCAGAGGGTGCCTGGAGAGTGGGGGAAGGGGTAAGAAAGACCCAGCCCACGGGGGCCCAAAGGGAGGCTCCGAATCGGGAAACAGGCCAGGGTCCCAGGGATCAGCCTCCCACCCCCACCTCCACTCTGCCTTGGTTCTCCCGTCCGTATAAGTAGGGCCTGGAGTCAGTGCAGTGACCTTCCGGTTGAGGGCAGATTTCAGAAGTCACCACCCAACTTAGATCCAGCGCCCCAAGGCCAGAGAGGGCTGTATGTGGGGGGAGGGGCCCCACCGTCCAGGCCCCTGGGAAGCAGATACAAACGAGGGGAGGGGCCGATGCTGAGAATAAATTAGGGTTGGCTGGGGGTTGTGACCCAGCGTCTCTGAGAACAGGAGGGAAAAAAAACTAGGTCTGGGCCACTCTGGGGTGGGGGGGTCGCGCCAGGGCCTATGGGCGATCCAGACGAATCCGGCGTCGAGTCCAGGCCCGTCAGGGTCCAGGGGTGGGAAGGGCCAGCCCGGAAGCCGGCAGGATAGTCATGGCACGTGGGATTGCAGCGGGGTCACTGGTCCTGCATCTGCTGCTTCATTTTCTGCAGCATCTCTTGCATCCGCCTTAGCTGGGAGGGGGCAGGAGGGACAGGGGGTGGTGTGAGCGAGCGGTGGGTGGGGCCTGCCACCCCCACCCCCACTCACCCAGCCTGGCCCCGCCTCCACTCCCCGCCCACCAGCCTGGCTCCGCCCCATCCAGCCAGCCTGGCTCCTCCCCTCTCCCCACCCACTCGGACTGGCTCCGCCCCCACTCCCCGCCCACCTCCTCATCTTTCATCCTGATGAGCTTTTCAGTCTCAGCGTCGGGCGTGGGCAGCGGCAGGATGGGTATTGGGCTCTCCATGCGGCTGTCCTGCGTCAGCTTGCTGCAGGGTGGACAGCGGGGACAAGGCTGCTGGGGGCCGGGTTGACCCTCGACACCAGCACAGTCCTGCAGCTCTCACACCTCTGGGCGGGGGCAGGGAGCGGGGGCACGCACCTGGTCATCTGCTGGATGCAGTGTGCGCGGTAGTTCTCGTAGTGCACGTCGCAGGTCACGTCCTTGAGGTCGTGCATGTGCGTGCGGATCAGCATGTTGCGAAGCTTCACGAAGTCGCAGTGCGCCTGGTTCTCCACTGCGGGCAGGGGTGGCCCGTGAGTGGGCCGCCGGCCTGGGGGAGCCTTCCCACCCTAAGGCTGTGCCCCAGACCTGGACTCACCCTCCACGATCCCCCAAGGGTACAGACGTCCCCGGACCCGCTGCCCCTTGGCCTCCACCACCGTGTTGCTGCCGATAACAGCGAAGGGTGCGCTCTCCTGGGGGGCGGGGGGCAGGTGCAAGGGCTCATGCCCAGTTAGCATGGGCATGAGGTGCAGTGCAAGAGGGGCCTGGGCACACTGCACCTGATCCGCCTCTCCAGTGTCCCCAACAACAACCTCTCCCCAAAGAGATCCTTTCGTCCCCACCTCGGGCCTCTCTGTTGCCAGCTGAAGCCAGAGCTGGTGCTGCTTACATGGAGGGCTTCTGCTGAGCTGTGCCCAGTCAGATGTACCCTCCCCACGTGGTAACCCTCCCCCTCCTTCCCCAGAGCGGAGCCCGTACCGCCTGTTAGCGGGGTGAAGGGCCCACCCTGGTCCTGGCCCAGTGGCCACTTGTCCCCAGCTTGGCTTTTCCTGGGGCTCCAAGGGCCCCAGTTCAGACCAGGGCCACAGCCCTCCTCTAGACCCCGTGTACAGTGGCCCCTGGGGTCCCCCCAAGCGCTGCAGGCTCACCTTCAGTTCCCGGTCCTGCTGCTTGAAGTCCTCATCCTCATCCGAGTCACACTCAGGAAACTGGTACACATGGATCCCAAACTTGTCGATCTCCTCCCGGATCTGCAGCCAGCGAGGGCTGTCAGGGGAGGGGCCGGTGGCCTCCGTCCCCCCCGAGCCCCACGCGGACCCCCCCCCAGCCCCGCAGGCTCACCCGCTCTTTCAGCTTGCGGATCTCCCCAGGGACAAGACAGTCGGCCTTGGCGATGAGGGGCACGATGTTCACCTTCTCATGCAGGGCCTTCATGAAGCCCACGTCCACTGGCCGCAGCCTGTGAGGGGGACCAGGGTGAGGGGCTCGTGGGGTGGGAGCGGCGGGAGGGGGTGCCCAAGGAACAGGCAGGCCAGGCCCCCTGGCCCAGGGCAGCCACCTACCCGTGCCCAAAAGGGGAGATGAAGTACAGGCAGCAGTGCACACGGTTGTCCTGGATGTTCTTGCGGTTGAGGCCACTCTCGTCCCGGAAATACTGCTCAAACTGCTGGTCCACATAGTCGGTGATGGGCTTCCAGCTGGGGGTAGGGGGGCACATGAGGCCAGCCGGGCTGGGAGCTGGGGGCTAGGGCAGCCTGGGCAAGCCTTCCTCACCACTCAGAGTTGTTGACGGCATCCCCAAAGCCTGGTGTGTCCACGATGGTGAGCTTCAGCTTCACTCCCTTCTCTTCAATGTCCACCGTGTGCTTTAGGATCTCAACCGTCTGGCTGATGCGTTCTGGGGCCGGAGGCGGGGTGGTGGTGGTGTAGAGTGGCTTCTGCGGCCCTGACTCCCACCCTCGGGCATCCCAGACCCTCCCAGGTTACGTGGCCTGGTGGTGGTCTGGACCCATGCTTCGGGGAGAGAGGATCAGGGATGGACCTGGAAGGGGCCCTCGAAAGGGTCACCCAGCAGGGGGCGTGGGGCCCACTCACCCTCAGCACTCAGCAGTTTCCGCTCCTTGTAGAGGTCGGTCAGGAAGAGGCTGTGGACCAGTGTGGACTTCCCCAGGCCTGACTCCCCTGCCCACAGATGCAGTGGGGAGGTCAGGTCCCAGGCCCCAGACGGAGCCTGGCTGCCCGTGCCCCTGCCCGCCCTGGGGCCTGGTGCGCTCACCGGCCACCATGAGCGTGAAGTCGAAGCCCTTCTTCACAGACTTGCGGTGCACCTGGTTAGGCAGCGTGGCGAAGCCCACGTACTGCTTGTCGATGTCCTGGACAGGGGTGGGGCAGGTCAGGGGCATGCTCGGGTTCCCGGGGCAGCCCCGGGCCCTGCCCCTACAGAGTTCAGGCCAGGAGGGCAGCAGGGCAGGGTACCCCCGGGAAGGGGCATCTCAGTGGTAGCCGCGGGCGAGGGCCTGTGGGCAAAGGCCCCCCCGAGGTGGAAGGCGGGTGGGCATGGAGGGTGGTGGTGCCTCCAAGGGCTTCACAGAGATCGAGTCTGTGCCCGGAGCGGGGCAACAGGCACATCCAGTGAGGCCAGTGTCCTGGGTGGGGGGCAGAGGGCACCAGGACCCAGGACCCCTCAGACATGCCCAAGGCCCTCCGAAGCTGGAGAGGCCCCCGCCTCAATACTCATCCCTCCGTGAAAGTGGGGGGTGGGAGGCCCCATCTGGCCCTAATCCAGCCGCGGGGGCGGCTGGCAGCAGCAACAGCAGAACTGGGGCTATTTATAGACAGCAGCCCCCGGCCTCCCCGCGGTCCCCAGCGCCCAACTCAGGACCCCAGGGCCCTGCGGCCCCCGTCATATCCCCAGTCCCGGCACCGGGGTGGGCGCGCGCTGACCCACTTTCCACGCCCCGCTCCACACACACCTTGAGCCGCCTCTGGGCCTGGGTCCGCGGCGATAGCAGCGGCTCCACCAGGCGGTCCTGGGGTGCTGCCAGCGAGTCCATCCCCGCCAGCCTGGGACCGTGCGGGCCGCGCTGGGGCCCAGAGGGTCAGGCCCGCCCGCCGCCAGGCGTGTTCTCGCCCCCGGGGCGCACGGACGCGGGCACCGGGGCCCGGGGCAGGGTGGTGCTCACGTGATGCGCGACCCCGAGGCCCCCCTCGAGCCGTGTGTCCGGCCCCAGACGGCCCGCCCCAGGCACAAGCGGGTCCCTGCGCCTGACGGGAGCGCGCGGTCTCCGGGAGACGGTCGCCTGGAAATGAGGCCGCGCGGGCGGAGCCACCGGAGCGGAGGAGGGCAGGGCCCAGCCCCGCGGGCTGTCACCGCGCCCGCCGCCAGAGGGAGCCCCATCCGCGCGCTCCCGCCCGGCCCCCCGAAACTCCTCACAGACGCACCCCTCCCTGCGCGGCCCGCCCCCCGCATGTGGCCGGAGAAGGTTTACGCCGCGGCCGCCGAGACCAGCGGGGAACCTGCGAGGGCAGAGCCCCGCTCCCCACCCAGGCCCGCCTCGGGCGGGAGGGGGCGGTCAGAGCCCGAGATGTCCGCCCCCGATCCCCTCTGCAAACGCGGAAGCTGTGGCCCATGGGTGGCTCCCCACACCCGCCGGCCAGCCCTGCTGGCCACACAGCCGCTGCCAGCCGAGGAGGGCTGATGGAGCGGACCCCTCACCAGGGTCTGTCAGGGGACGCTCTGTCTCAGCTTCCATCCTGCCCTCACCCCCAGGGCTGGGCAATAGGGGGCCTGGGGGGCTCCAGCCAGCTCCGGCCTCTTGCCTGTACCGCGATGCCAGGGACCAAGGGGGTCTCCCGAGCCCACAAACCCGGCCTTGCCCCCACCCCGCAGGCCCCCACCAGAATCTGAACAGGCCAGACCAATGGGAAGGAGCTGGGCATCCAAAGAGATGGACACACTCTGAACTCTGTCAGTAGGGCTGGGAGGCCCCCACACCCCTACCTGCCCTCCCTTCCTGGCTCCCCACTCAAGGGGCCTCTGTCCCCCAGTCCAGGCCAGAGCTGCTGCCGTGGGGCCTGGAGGCCGCTGGCACCTGGGGAGGAGGGGTGGGTCCACTGCTGGGAACAGGGGCGCCTTTCATCCAAGAGGACAGTGGGGGGAGCCACAAGCCGCAGCCCGGCCGCCTGCCCTGGTTCCAAGAAAGCATCCGCCACGTGGACCTGTGGGGGGCCTCCGGGCTGAGTATCCCCCCGCCTCCAACCCTGGGCTCCACCTTAGACACGGCTTCTAGGCCCAGCTCCCGCCGGGTGGACAAGCCGACGTCTTGGGCCTGGGGCGCCTCCAAGGACAGAGCCAGGCCTGGCCTCAGCGCCCTACAACCTGGGGCCTGAAGGATGCACTGCCCAGACAGCCTCGGTTTGCACGCTGGTAAGGCACAGCCTCGGGAGGCCCAGGACAGGGAACAAGCCCAGCCACTGCCGGCCCAGCCCGCGTCCCACCTCATCCGCACAGGGCTGGGGATTCCCTGGGGGTCCCCAAGGAGAGGGCCCTGACACCCGCTTTGTCTGGTCCCCGAGGCACAACAGACACTGATGAGGACTCCTGGAGTCGCAGACATGCCTCGCCCACCTCCTCCCTACCGCCTGCTGCCTGACACTCTCGAGGCGTTTTCTTTCTTAGAATCTCCCCGTCAGCTCCAGGGACAGGAGCCAGAGCCAGTGGAGCTACCAAGCTGAGACGGGGTGCAGTGGGGAGGGCACAGAGGAGCACCAGAGCCTCCCAACCCGTGCCTGAGATGGTGGGCACAGAGGGGTCCATAGAGTCCCCCCTCCCCCCGGTGCCTGAGATGGTGGGCACAGAGGGGTCCATAGAGCCCCCTCTTTCCTGGAGGGGTGACAGGCTGAGGCTCAGAACACCAACAATGGAACAGTGAAGACCCACGGGGAGCCTGTCCCAAACGCCTGGCTCCTGGCCCCCATCCGGGCTTATTCTACACCCCACCTGCATCACACCCTCTGCCTCAGGCCCCGGGGGCAGGCATGGGTGAGGCTGGTCCTAGCTGAGCTCCAGGAGGGGCTGGAGCCCCAGAATGGGACCCCAAGTGCCCCCAGGCCTCGGAGCAGCGGGGGGGCCGGTCTCCCGGGTCTTCCCCCTGTCTGTCCCTGAACAATGGCGGGCTGGCGGGCTGGCCTTGTGTCTCCTGCATTGTTCGACCCGCAGAATGAGCAGGCAGCTCCCGGCCCCGGCTCCCCGGGGAGACCCTCGCTGGCAGGGTGAGGATGACAGGCCCCTCCCCACGAGCCTCGCCCAGCCCAGGGCACAACCGGCGACTCCCAGCCCCCACCCCACCTGCCAGGCCGCTCCGCCCGCCTGCCACACCTGGGCCAATACTGTGGGGTTCCACCCAGGGTGTGAACCCCCATCCCTGACGAGGGCTGCCAAGGCCACCCTGGTGCCCAAGTCGGGCCTTCCTGTTCTGCCCTAAACAAGGCTGCGCTCGAGCAGAGAGACCTCAGCCAGCGGGGCTGTCCCAGGGCCCCAAGCTCCCCCCTGGCGCCCCCCTGCATGGGGTCTCCGCGACATTTAAACCTGATCTCAGCCAGCTTCACAGTGGGCGTCCAGGCGGCCTCCTGTCCAGCACTGTCCACCCGGAGGGTGGGGTCCAGGCCGGCCCTCGGGTGAACCCATTTGTACCTCTTAAGTCAGATGACCCAAGCTGGGCAGGGGGATGACCGAGACCAGGCCCTGGAGACTCCCAGTCTGGGGAAGAGGCCCCAGGTCAGCCCACTCACGTCACTCAGTGGGAAGAGGATGCAGAGAAGCTGGGTGGGGTGGCCGGAGCAGCCGTCCGCGCTCTCCGTGTGGGGCCACTCTGGGACGGCCCTGGCTGCTGGACGCAGACCCCTCCCTCCGCCCATGGCGTTCCATGACCAGGGGCTCCCTCAGGACCCCAGCACGCGGCCTCGGGCCAGTTCAACAAGGAGAGGCCGGCGCTGGACCAGTGGGAGGGGGCACCTGGCCCATCCCCCATCGGGGAGGGGTGCCCGCTGCGCAGGCCGGGGTTAGGATCCAGGACCAGGGCACCGTGCCCCCGCTGCCCCGCAGCACCCGGCTGACGATCGGCTATCGCGACAGGGCGGGATGACGGCGGGCGGGGGCGGGGTCGCGCCGGGGCGCCGCGGTGTTGTTGGCACAATGGGTGACAGCGGGCTGGGGGAGCAGCGGCGCACGCGTACCTGCTTGTCCTCTGCGGGTGTGAGTCGGGTCGGGGGTCGGGTCGGGGTCCAGGGCCGGCCGGCGGGCGGGAGAGAGACCGAGACACACGGTGAGAGGCGCGCGCGGCGGGGACAAAGGCGCGCGCGCGCGCGCAGGCGGGCGGGCGCCGGGCTCACCTGGGGTCGCCAGCTTGCTCTTGTGCCGCAGGCCTGTGCTCATGGTGGCCGCCGGGGGACGTGCGCGCGGGCTGAGACCCGCGCTGCGCTCGGCCCCCTTGACCGTGGCCGCTGTCCACCCCCTCTCCTCCCTGCCTAGGCCCCCGGGCCCCCAACACCGTCCCTAACCGATCCCCGGCCCCCTACCCAGACCCCGGCTCTGACTCCTCCACCCTCATGGGACCTCCGACCACACCTGACCTCTGATCATCCTTGGTGTGGCCCCCCCGTAGAGCCCCCAGAGGCTCCGGTCTCATACATGCTCCACCACCACCCTCAGCAGGCAGGCTCTGCCCAGCTGAGGTCAGGGCATGCCCCCCACCTCATCAGGGTGGATGCCAGGGGCTTTGGCCTGCAGAGCCCGGCTCCAGGCCGTGTCAGGGCCGAAAGCCTGATGCCTGGCACGAGGCAGCCCCAGCGCCTCTCCTGCAGCTGTTCGTGTCTGTAGCCGGCTCTGCACGTGCACACACCTGGGCAGTCGGTCCGCCCCAGTTCCAGGATCGTTGGTTAGGGATGAGCCGCCATCGACGGCTCCCACCGTCACCCCTGCACCCCCAGGCCCACCCCAGCACCCTGTGCTCTGCACACGCACAGGCGGACCTGCTGAGACCACCCTGAGAAGGGGCCCCCTGGGTACTGCGAAGGTGGGCCAGGGTCTGCACCCCACTTAGGCTGAGGTCTCCCCAGGCTGGGTGCCTGCTGTCTGTTTCGGTCACTGCCACACTCCCAGCGACACTGCCAGCTGCCCTCAGCCTGGACCTCCCGGGAGCGCCCCCCAGGAGTCTCGTCTGGGGCTCTCAGCCCCTCAGGACGGACGTGGGGCCTGTGGTCCGCAGCCCCCCAGGTGAGCGCCCCTGCACCGGCGGGAAGCCCCCGTCCCGCCCCGCCCTCTGCTGGCCTGTGGGCTGGGCAGACTGTTCCCCTCTCACCTTCGCTGCCGCCCGGCTGACCCGGGTCCCCTCCCCCGGGGCCTCCGCCTGGTCCGGCGCGAGGTGTGGGGCCAGTCCACCCCCCCACCCCGCCCTAGGCCCTGGGGCCAGAGCATCTGGAATGCAGGGCTTTCATCCACTCACAGACGACCTGATGCCTCAAAGGGCCCTGGGGCTGCGCCTGGACGTTCCTGTCTGAAGGACTGCCTGGTGGTCCCGCGGTTGCGACTCGGTGCTTTCACTGCTGGGGGCTTGGGCTCCATCCCTAGTTTGAAGCTAAGGCCCCCCATGCCACGCCACCACAATAAATATTTTTTTAAAAAATTTTTTTTAAAGATTTTGGCACTGAAACACAACTGTCCCCATGAGCTGCAATAAATAAAGATCATAGTAAATGTATATCTTAGTTCAGGACTGGCTTTGTCACCAGATTTTGAAAACTTTTCTTTCAGAGCTTTAGGGAGTTCAGGATTGTGGATAAAGGCGTGGGGCCAGAGGGGACACTTGGAGTGCGAGGCAGGACTTCTAGGCCTTCACCAGCCCTGGGGGCCTCCGTGGAAACCCCATCTCAGGGGACCTGGAGCCTAGCAAAGCGGTCCAGTCAGGCAGTGAGAAAGGGCACTTCAACAGTTAGCACCAACTGACCCAAGCAAGCCTGTGCTCACGGGGACTCTGGAGGACTGGAAAGCTGCCCTGTC